TTAAATGATAAAGTATTTGTGTGGCTTTTGGGAACTGAAGGTCAAATCCCTGTGAGGACTAGACACAGTTCACTTGCATACAAAATACAGTGGGTTTAGAGGAAAATGTGCTAAGTAATAGCAAAATTTCCCTGCCTCTCAACCTCTGTAGCTTTTCCCAGACCTTATGAGAGAGGGGGCCAGAGGGAAGCAAGGGACAGGTTGATGGTGTAGCACCCTAAAGCAGTTCTCTCCAGGTCCGTCCTCTCCAGGTCCTCTAAAGAACGGGGGGATGAGAAAAGAGAAGGAAACCCAAGGAGGGCTGACGCCACGAGACCAGTGGGCAGAGTGCCTCAGCTCCATGCATGCGCAGGGCCGATGTGGCTCCCGTACCAAGGTCCTGCTGACCCAGAAGGCGTGGGCGGGCAGTTCTGCTCCCAGGAGGAAACTGGGCAATGCTCCAGCAGACTGGACTGTCAGAGCCTTTCGAATGCAGCAAGGGCCAGCGTAGCAGCATCTTCAGGATTAGTAGTAACTGAACACCAAAAGCTAAATGAGTGGGCAGTGGTAGCCCAGACCTGGGGCCACTCTAAAACGTGACTGCCACCAGAGAGAACGAAGACAGCCACGCCTGGTAGAAAATGAAGGCTCGTGACACATGTTCCCATTTCGGCACTCGAGTTTGTGATTTGAGGCTTACGCCCACCCAACTGGTTTTCTTCCCACTTCATGTTCTCACCTTTTCATTTTTCCACCACTAAACTACAATCCTTCCAGGGCAGAAGCAGCATATGTCACTGACCTCTGCACCCTACAGTGCCTTGTTCATATGTCTCGATTCTCCATACAACTTACTGAAATCGATCGGTAACCTGTGGCAGAAATGGGTTCCTTCTGCTGCTGAACATCTATGTCTCTTATTTCAGAACCGTCACAGTTTGTCTGTTTCACTGATCCTGCACTGAGCAGGTGACCCAAGTCTGAAAGTCAGAACAAATCTCCTGCCACATCAGAGCTTCAAACCAAAGCTGATCTGCTATCTGCATCTCACCAAGTGCTTGTGCGGAGCTGCAGAACTCCCCTCTCCCAGGCGCTTCCGTGTGGACCTGCTACAACATTTTATCACCACAAGGGGAGAGCCTGAGGGCAAAGCCACACAGAAGGGCACTTGACCAGAGTTGCAGATAGAATCTGGGCTCTGCTGGCCCTGCTGGAGCCTCGGACTGGGCAACAGCTAAAGCCACAGCAGCTCTGGACTGTTCAGTCACATGGACCAGTATGTTTTCCTTTTCTGCTAACGCCAATTTGGATCAGATTTTCTGACACTTGCAACTAAAACATAGTAAATAGTACATAAATCTTACCCTCAGAAGACTTTCTGCTGTGAACCCTATCAAGCAAGCAGAATTAAACCAGTCAAATAAGCAAATTCCACAGTTGAGAGCTGCTATTGCAAACATCCTGCTGTGGGCAAAGGTCGCAGCCTTTTTTGTAAACACGGGAAGGGGGCTATCAGACTTGGGAATTCAGATGCAGTGTGGTCTGTGAGCCCTCGTAGCCGTGAACCAGGGGTTGACAGGCCCGGTCTTGGTCAGGATGCCTTCGTGTTCGGCTGAACTATGGAAGACAATGGCTAATTTGCTTTAATAGCACAGATCCTATTAAATTGCTGACAAAATCATATTGCTTAGTCATAGTTAAATATAGTGAATTTCTCTGTCAGAGCCAACAAATAATAATAACAACTTAGATATAAATCTTAGTTCCTGTCCTCAGCATCAACTCATGGCTCACCCACTTTTCCTCTGCTGTGCCATAAGGTATAGAGAGAGCATGGTCTGGTCAGAATGTTGGTCTTATTATACCACTAAAGGTATAACGATACAGGTCATTCGTTGCTAAAGAAGCCTTTCGACTGGACATGCACAAAAGTCTTGTCTCCTGAATCCCAAGCCAAAGCAAACTCTCCATGAATATTTGAGTTTCCTCCTAACAGTGACTGGCTGCCACACCTCAAGCTAAGAAATTTCGATTAAAATGTTCTTGAAAAAGTGATTAAGGGGCACCTGGGTGGCTTGTTGGTTAAACGTCTGACTCTTGATTTCAGCTCAGGTGACGACCTCACAGTTCATGGGTTCAAGCCCCGAGTCGGGCTCCACACTGACCGCACAGTGTCTGCTTGGGATCTTCTCTCTCCCTCTCTCTGTCTCTGTCCCTGTTTCTCTCTCTGCCCCTCCTGTGCACATGCTGTTTCTAAATAAATAAGCTTTAAAAAAAGCGATTAAAATATTTGAAAATGTCTATACTAAGATAATTTTTTTTTTAATTAAGAGTTTCTAAGATACTGGGGAGAAAATGTTTACTTTGGAAACTTCAAAAGCTTGAAACAAGCTTAAGCTGTGGAAATAATTTCCATATTGATCATGGGCCATAAACTAGGGGCTGGATCCCTGCAAAACAGAATCCTGAGACCCCTGCTTAGAGTAACTTAGAAACTGATCACTTTCAAGCATTTCCACCCCCCGCCCTGGACTCAGGACCGGGGTTTCCCAACTTTCCTTCATGTCAGCCAGCGTCCACTAAAATATTTTCCCCAATGGACTCTGGACTATGAGAGAGGTACCTATAGGAAAAGTTTACAAGTTTAGAAATGGTTTTCCAAATGTCCATTAATTAGATATTAACCAAATTATTAAGCCTTATAACTAACATGAAATAAAGGTTAATTCACTGAATTGATAAAACCCCAACCAAAATCAAAGTAGAAAGCTGCAAAGGAAATATATAGAATAAGTTGATTAAATCTTTGCCAAAATAAAATAAATAAATAAATAAATAAATAAAAACCTTCACGCAACCAAGTAATTTTTTAAAGGGCTTTGACATAATGACCTGAGCTTGGAAGCTTTGTTAGAACACTGTGGTCTTGAAAGCCACCGCCAGACAACTAAGGCCGGTCATTGTTTCTTCAACTGATTCTTATCTTTCTGTGGCCTTGGTTTAACTTCTTCCTTTGACTCAAGGGACAAAACTTGTCAGTTCCAGAAATCAAAACCGGTCTCTCTGCTCACATCAGCAGCCTTGCAGTCCAAACTTTAAACCAAATTGAGCATTTGAACCCCAAACATTAGTGTACCCTAAGCTTCCTTTCTCCTCCCCCAACCACAGGCTGCAGATGGGAGACAAAGGGTAGGGAGCGGTGAGCACTTAACCTTCAGCTTTAGGAAACCCTTGATGTACACTCACTTTTATCTTTTCTCAAACTAAAAAGTGATCCTCATCCAGAGCAGGACTACACATGCCACTCTGGTCTGATCATTTGGTGAAAAAAAATGGACTCTTCCCAAAATAGAAAATTCAGCGTGCTTAGGTTTTAAGTTGCATACGACGATGTCAAACAAGGCAATATGCAGAAGGACTTCTGTGACCAGCAGTCATTCCAGCAACACAGCCAGCCCTATTTCCCTTGGACCCATACCAGCTTTCCTTTTGAAGCCCCGCATCCTATTTCCAAAGAGTGAGAGCACTCCTGAGAGTAAATGCTTCCTAAGTGGAATAAAAGCATCACATCACTCTTGATGAGGAAAGATTATTATTTTTTAATCTTACAAAAGATGAGGTTAGTATTTTCTCATTTTACAGAAACTTTTGTTTAATTAGAATGTCGGTAGGGGCGCCTGGGTGGCTAGGTCGGCTAAGCCTCCAGCTCTTGGTTTCTGCTCAAGTCATGATCTCATGCTTCATGAGTTTGAGCCCAGCATCAGGCGGTTCAGGTCCTGCTTGGGATTCTCTCTCTCCCTCTCTCTCTCTGTCCCTCCTCCACTGGTGCACATACACACACGCTCTCTATCTCTCAAAATAAATAAACTTAAAAAAATAAATAGGACGTTAGTAAACCAAACAACCAATTTCTCCTTAATTTAAACAAGATCAACAGGATGGAAGCTATAACTTATTTGATTTTTCTAACCTTCAACATAGTAATTTGCGGACACCTCAGAAGTAAGGCACTCCACAGGTGTTCCAAGAGCAGGCCCACACAAGGAAGGAAAGGGCACCCGGAGACCTGTGATTTCTCCATTGTGCATGTAATACATATCTTCTAACTTATTATTAACTAGGCATCTCCCACATCTCAATAAAAACATTCCTGAGAACAAGAATGCAGGACGTGCATGTTCTGTAAGCAGAACAAAACCTGAAAACCTTCTCTCCTACCAGTAGAACTGTCTGGGCCCATCAGATTACTCCCTGGGGGCAAGGGGCCCAGGTCTGTGTCATTCTTTCCAACTCAGCCCTTCTGGCAGCAGTGACAACACTGAAACATTTGTTGAAGTGAAACAGGTATGTTTCAGGACAGCAGGTACATGTCATTTCCCTGTGGTCACCTACCCGTTCAGAGCACTGTCGCACTTGTTTAAATAGGAAAGCCCACCGCGGCAGGGAGCCTCGCAGACGTCCGGTGCCCCCAGAGCTATAGAGCTATCCACCGCCTCTCTGCTCAGAGATCCCCTTACCACAGGAGGTGCCCCAAACGGCTTGGCTTGGCTGATCGCAGGGAGGGCCAAGTGGTCGCATGCAGGGCCCGGAACCTCACAGGGGACCCAGGGCGCCCTGCTGACTTCCTGCCCCCGCCAGTCAAGCTCACCTCACACCCACAGCACCGCAGGGCTCTAGAGAGTCACTTATTGAAACAAATTGGGACGAAAAAGAGTAGTAAGTGCTTTTCAAACATTAATTACAAATAACATAAGATGAATTACAGTAGCCAAAATTAAAACTTAGCAAGAGCTTTTCTGTGTACGGAAACACCTGTGGACGAGTCTACAGAATTGGTTAATTTTTGACAGTTTGCGGAATGACCTGTTGATAATACGCAACAGCAAAATCCCCGGACGCCCTCCTTTCTCCCGCCCTCTTCCCCAACCTTTGACCCTCTGCAGCCAAACTTTCTAAAGGGGAGAGGTGGGGGGTCCCGACTCTAGGTGCGGCTCGGCGGCGTCACCCACACCTGTACTCACTTGTGACCCCAGAGCCTGGTCCTCCGGCGCCCCTCGAGCGGCCGACACCTCCCCAGGAAGAGGAAGAGCGCCCTTGGCTCGGCCCCGCCTCCCGGGGCGGGGACCGCCTGGCCAGGTGCACACCTGACACAGGTAAGGGGCAGGTGAACACTCCACTTTTGCCAGGACGAAGCACCCGCCACATACACCCCCGACGAAAGCACGGCGCGGTCACGGGATTTCTGACTTCACCGCGTCCCTCCCAGGGCGGCTTCTAAGGCGTCCAGTCTTTTACAGTTGGGTCCCCCAGCCCAGGGCCCTGTCGCCAGGCAGAGGGTTGTGTGTGACCTGAGCACTGGGGGTCAGGGCGAGGCAGGTGTCTCGGGGGCCCGGGGAGTGCTCCCTGGTCCCGAGCGGACTCCGCTCAACCCCTGATCGCGGGCCTTGCGTTTGGGCCGCGCGGCCCAGGTCTGGGGTGGGCCCAAGTCTGAGGGCAGGCCCAGGTCTGAGGGGAGGCCCAGGTCTTGGGGGAAGCCCAGGTCTGGGGGGGGCCAGGTCTTGGGGGGCCAGGTCTGGAGCGGTGGAACCAGGTCTGGGGAGGGAGCCCAGGTCTGGG